AGTAGTAAACACTTCCTTATCTACTTTCTCTATACCAGTCATGATTTTATAGACCTCAATCATATCTCCCCTTAGCCGTCTCTTTTCCAAGCTGAAAAGTCCCAGTCTTATTAATCGCTCCTCATACGGAAGCCATTCCATACCCCGAATAATTTTTGTTGCCCTTTTCTGAACCTTTTCCAATTCCAATATATCTTTTTTGAGATGGGGCGACCACATCTGCACGCACTGTTCAAGATGTGGGCGTACCAGGGATTTATATAGCGGCAACATGATATTTTCTGTCCTATTTTCTATCCCCTTCTTAATTATTCCCAGCATTCTGTTCGCTTTTTTGACTGCCACTGCACACTGAGTGGTTGTTTTCAGAGAACTATCCACAATGACTCCAAGATCTCTTTCTTGAGTGGTAACAGCTAATTTAGACCCCCATAATTTTATATGTATAGTTGGGATTATGCTTTCCAACGTGCAATACTTTGCATTTATCAACATTAAATTTCATCTGCCATTTTGTTGCCCAGTCACGCAGTTTTGAGAGATCCTTTTGTAGCTCTTTGCAGGCTGTCTGGGTCTTAACTATCTTTAGTAATTTTGTATCATCTGCAAATTTTGCCACCTCACTGTTTACCCCTTTTTCCAGATCATTTATGAATATGTTGAATAGGACTGGTCCAGAACAGACCCCTGGGCGACACCACTATATCATTAAGGCTATTTCCATTTAAGAACTTTTCCATCTACTGGCAGTAAGCTTGAATTTAAATATATGCATAGAGAGAATGATTTACAACTAAATGTTTTGGACCCAATTTAAATGTAAAAAATAATGCTTTAAATTACGAAAATACTATTTAATAGCTTTTCATGATTAGTAATGGAGAAAAACTTATGCAAGGTGAATTTAACAAGGCTGCATGAGATGACTTCCTGGAAACTGGTATCGTATTGAACCTATTTTCCTGTACTATACTATTATTCACTTTTAGCAATAAACTTGACTCATATTGGTTATTTGGTCTCTTGTGTATATTTCATAACATACCGAAGTGTGGTCAAGCAATTGGCTATACAATATATCAACAGTATTCTGATGAATAGTCTATCAATAAAGCTACATAGTATCAGAAGATTAGTAATATTAATTTTTCATAATTTATTCTACTAAACCTCTTCCTCACAGGCATGTATCTTGTGTAAGGATCTGCATATTGAATCAATAAGTCGGAACTATCCCAAAGAAAACTTTTTGTTGTTGTTTTTTTTTAAATACATCTTCATGTTCATATGTTTTAATTAAAAATAAAACAGGAAACCTTGTATGGATGCCGGTAAGATGCCTGTAACCCCACACAGCAGAATCTGAAAACACATCGCGGGCAAGTGCCAGTATTCAGTAATAGCTGAGCAATGGATCTGTTCTTTTCTGTCAATGCAAACATTCTGGATAATCCTAATTAAAAATAAAATAAAACAGGGTTAGTAAGTGATTTTCATGTGTCACTTCTAAATATAATCTGCATAGAAGAAAAAGTTAGAGGTATCGCATCATCACCCAAACAACCCTCCCTAGAATAAACATCATTTGGTACAAACAGTACAAGGATTCACACACCAGAACAGTACTGGGGATCATTGCACCAGTTTATAATTCTCATAAGGCTTGAAAGAAGTTTTGTCTTACGTCAGAAGCATCATTTGTTTGGTGAAGTTAATCTGTTCCTAGTGACCATTTTTGCACATTACACTTGTTCATTATTTGTAGTCACAGGATTATTGACCCAAGAGAAAATAGCTCTGTTGCTGAAGGCCAGTAGTCATAGCTGTTTAGGGGAAAATACACAGACTCATAGACACTAAGGGCAGAAGGGTCCATCGTGATCATCTAGTTCAACGTTTTTCAAACTGGGGTCCGCGGACCCCTGGGGGTCCCCGAGGGAACTCCAGGGGGTCTACGGACCCCACTGATCAACTCCTCCTTCTCCCTCCCTTCCTCAACTCCTCTCCCTCCCTCTATCCCTCAGAGGCTACTGAAGCCAAACCAGGAGATTTTAATCGGCAGTGCAGTGGGGCTAAGGCAGGCTCCCTGCCTGCCCTGGCTCCACGCCACTCCTGGAAGCCGCCGGCACATCCCTGCAGGCCCTGCAGGAGAGGGTCTCCGCGCTCTGCCCCCGCCCCAGTGCAGACTCCGCAGCTCTCATTGGCTGGAAACTGCAGCCAATGGGAGCTGCAGGGGCAGTGCCTGCAGGCAGGGGCAGCGTGCGTGGAGAGCCCCTGGCCCCTTGCCTAGGAACCACTGCCAGAGAGATGTGCCAGTCGCTTTCAGGAGCTGCCCCCCCTCCCACACCCAAACTCCCTCCCAGAGCCCTAGGGTGACCAGACAGCAAGTGTGAAAAATTGGGACGGGGGTGGGGGGCAATAGGAACCTATATAAGAAAAAGACCCAAAAATCGGGACTGAGATTGGTAAATTTATGGATAGGACGGTATGATGAGACTGCCTAGACAGGCAGGTGGCCCATCTGTGACTGCTATTAGCAAATATCCCCAATGGCTAGAGATGGGACACTAGATAGAGAGGGCTCTAAGGGCTTGTCTATACTACTGCTTAAGTCGATGTAAGCGATGTCCCTAAGGGGTGTGAAAAAACCACACCCTGAACCACATAACTTACATGGACTTAAAGCAGTGTCTACACCAGGTGTCGGCAACCTTTCAGAAGTGGTGTGCCGAGTCTTCATTTATTCACTCTAATTTAAGGTTCTGCGTGCCAGTAATACATTTTAACGTTTTTAGAAGGTCTCTTTCTATAAGTCTATAATAAATAACTAAACTATTGTTGTATGTAAAGTAAATAAGATTTTTAAAATGTTTAAGAAGCTTCATTTAAAATTAAATTAAAATGCAGAGCCCCCTGGACTGGTGGCCAGGACCTGGGCAGCGTGAGTGCCACTGGAAATCAGCTCGCATGCCGCCTTCGGCACGCATGCCATAGGTTGCCTAGCACTGGTCTACACCATGCTATATCAGCAGGAGACGCTCTCCCACTAACACAGCTTCCGCCCCTTATTAAGGTGGAGTAATTAGGTCGATGGAAGAGCGCTCTCCCGTCGACATAATGCGTCTTCACCAGATGCACTGCAGCAACACTCATTTAGTGTAGTAGTGAAGACAAGCCCTAAGTTGCTACAGAGAATTCTTTTCCAGGTGTCTAACTGATAAGTCTTGCTGACATGCTCAGGGTCTAACTCACAGGTGGGCAAACTACGGCGGCCCGCGGGACCCTCCTGCCCCACCCCTGAGCTCCTGGCCCAGGCAGCTCTTGCAGCCTGACCCGGTGCTCTGTGCTGCACGGTGGTGTGGCTGGCTCCAGCTGGGCAGCACAGCTGCCTGTCCTGGTGCTCTGGATGGCGTGGCCGTAGCGCTGCCAGCCACTGGTGCTCCAGGCAGCGTGGTAAGGGGGCAGGGAGGGTTGGATAGAGGGTAGGGGAGTTCGGGATGGTGGTCAGGGGGTGGAGGGGGTGGATAGGGGTCGGGGCAGTCAGAGGGTAGGGAACAGGGAGGTTGAATGGGGGCAGGGGTCCCGGGGGAGCAGTCAGGAAGGAGACAGGGGGTTGGCTGGGGCAGCGGGGGGCAGTCAGGGAGAAGGGGGGGTTGGATGGGGCAGAGGTCTCAGCGGGCAGTCAGGAATGAAAGGAGGGGTTGGATGGGGCGGCGGGGGGCAGTCAGGGAGGGGTGGATGGGGCAGGGGGTTTCGGGGGGGCCCATCAGTGAACAGGGGGGTTGGATGGCGTAGGAGTCCCAGGGGGGCCGTCAAGGGGCACGAAGCAGGTGGGGTCGGATAGGGGGCGAGGGCCGGGCCATGCCTGGCTGTTTGGGGAGGCACAGCCTCCCCTAACCGGCCCTCCAAACAATTTCGGAAACCTGATGTGACCCTCAAGCCAAAATGTTTGCCCGCCCCGGTCTAACTAATCACCATATTTAGAGCCAGGAAGGAATTCAGGTTAGTAGAGACCCTGGCGGGGGGGGGGGGGTTCGCCTTTCTCTGCAGCATGGGGCCTGGGTCACTTACAGGTTTAAACGAGAATAAATAGTGGATTCTCTGTAACTTGAAGTCTTTAAATCATGATTTGAGGACATCAGTAACTCAGACAGAGGTTAAGGATCTATTACAGGAGTGGGTTGGTGAAGTTCTGTAGCCTACAATGTGCAGGAGATCAATAGATGATCCTGGCCAAACCAACATGCCTGCTGCCAGGGAGTGGCGCCCTCTGACGGCTTCCCTTTCCTCCCCTACCAGAAAGTATTATTCTGTATGGGCAGGGAGAGGGGACATAAATTCTGCACATGCACAGCGGTGCAGAATTCCCCCAGGAGTATCCCTTCTGACAGCATCCACCCCATTCAACTGCATATGGGGACATCTGAATGCATGTTTGAGGAAACACTATAAGTTCTTTCATACGAAGATCATACATGAAGGGGAAACTCTAACACAATTGACCATTCAATGTGTATGTAGGTATATGGGGGAGGGGGGGACCACACGTGTAAGTGTATCTATAGGGAATTGAGCCTACCCCGCCCTGTACAAGACGAGTACGCACAACCAGAAGGCAGTGGAAAGCGTGCACATCCCGGGGGCGCTGAAGGGCCTGCCTACGGGCAGGGCTGCAGACCCCCGCACGGAAGCGCTGTTTGCGGCACACAAGGGGCACCCCGCAGCGCCCCCGCTAGTGGGAGCACACCCCGGGGCTCCGCATGTCCCCGTTCAGCACCGCGCATGCGGGGGAGCCCCTGCCACGGGCTGGGGGAGCTACACACCCGCGGTGCAGACCCTCCCTCTCCCCATGGCGGGGGACCCTACGCCGGGCCCAGGGGCGCCTCCTACCTCCTCCGCCCGGCGCAAGCAGCGGGAGCCTTTCTTGATGCCGGGGGTGTAAGGACACAAACAGCTCCCGGCGACCCTCAGCCCTAGTCCGGGGGCGGGAAGGTCTCCGGACCGCGGAGACCGCACACCCGCCGAGCTGGGGAAGGCCTGAGCAGCGGCAGCCAGAGACGTCGATCCTCAAGCGCGGCCTGGCCCGGAGTCGCCGCACCCTCCGGCGGATGAACGGCTCGGCGCTCCCCCTGTCAGGCCTGGCAAGGCTGCGATCAGGTGCGGAGGCTGGGCTGGGGCGGCTCGGCCGGGCGGGCGCAGCGGAGCCGGAACGGAGGAGATGGCGTCTCAGCCGCCGCCTCCCAAGCCCTGGGAGAACCGGCGCCTCGCGGGAACCGCGGCCCCGGCCTTCCAGTGAGTGCACCGGCCCCTTTCCCGGGATACAGCCTCAGAGCCTCCCCCCCACGGACCCTGCCCCGCCCCGCTCCCTATGCAGGGGGAGAGAGTCTCCCTCCCAGGGACCCTGCCCCGTTCCTCCTTCCATGGGGGGGACAGACCTCCCCACCCCAGGGACCCTGCCCCGCCCCTCCTTCCACGGGGGGGACAGACCTCCCCACCCCACCCCTGGTCACCCTACCCCGTCTCTCCTTCCACGGGTGGGAGAGACTCCCTCCCAGGGTCCCTGCCCCGTCCCTCCTTCCATGGGGGGTTATGAGACTTCCTGCCACAGGGCCCCTCCCCCCATGGGAAGAGAGAGACATGGACTTTGCTTCCCTGCCTGCCCCCCCTCCCCAGTTTGTGAAGATTTTGGGATAATGTTAATATAAAATAATTATGGGTACTGATCTTGAACCTCTGAATTTATTTAGGTCTGCTGATTTGGGTGCCAGCCTGCTGACCAGGCCTGGACAACCCACACTCACACGAGTACCTCCGCCTATTTTGCCACGACCATCTCAGCAGGCAGGGAACAGTAGCCTGAGCAATTTCAGACCTGCATACAGCAGTTCCTTTTCTCCAGGCTATGGCACATATGGAAACTCCTTTTATGGAAACTACAGCCCTTACAGTTATGGATATGGTGGTATGGGCTATAACCGGTTTCGTACAGACGATCTACCTCCCAGCAGATTTGTTCAGCAGGCTGAAGAGAGCAGCAGAGGTGCATTTCAGTCCATTGAAAGTATTGTGCATGCATTTGCCTCAGTCAGTATGATGATGGATGCTACCTTTTCAGCTGTTTATAACAGTTTCAGGGCTGTATTGGATGTAGCCAATCACTTCTCCCGACTCAAAATACACTTCACAAAGGTGTTTTCAGCTTTTGCATTAGTCAGAACTATAAGATACTTCTACAAACGGATGCAGCGACTGCTGGGTCTGCGGAAGAGCTCTGAGAATGAGGATTTGTGGGCTGAAAGTGAAGGAACTGTGGCTCGCATTGGCCCAGAGGACCGGGCAGCTAACTCAGCAAAATCCTGGCCGATTTTCTTGTTCTTTGCTGTTATTCTTGGGGGTCCCTACCTCATCTGGAAGCTGCTCTCCACGTACAGTGATGAAGAAACAGGTAAAGGAAATGAGCAAATTGAGGAGATTGTAGGTTAAAAAATAAACTATTCATGTTCTTGCCACAAAGAAATTAGTAAATCATACCCTAAAAATGCTGAATTCAACAGGGAGTTGGAGATTAAGGTATTAGAATAGCCTATTCTTTGATGCCATGTTAATTGATCCATTCAGTTCACTATCAAAGAGGTTCTACTTCTAGGGAAGGTAAGACTTTAGGGCTGAGTTCTGCAGCTGCTTCATATGTATACAACTGCAGAATCAGATTTCTTATGTGAAAGAAACTCTTCTTTGGCAGCAAGATTCAACTAGGTATTACAATATAGCACTTTACTAATAACATGTTCTTTAGTGAACTTGGGGGAAAAACTTGGGCACTTGCTTGCTTTATTCAGTCAATCCATCAATCTGGTGACTTGGAATAGAAAATTCTGCAAACCAGGACACTTATATGCAGAGGCCTAAATGTGGATTCAGAAGCCTAACTTGAAGCACCTGAAAATGTTGGTAATTGTATAGTGCCATATGTGTATGGCCCTGTAATAAATGTTTGTATAACACTTTTAAGATTTAAAGTGTTACATAAATGTTTCTGTGATCCATTATATTTAGTATATGCATACTTGTGGAAAAATTCAGTTTCTGTTATAAAGTACTTTAAAGATCCAGATGATTATGCTGCTTTTTAACTCTTCTGTGAAATAGTGTCTAGTAACTGGGCAAATGGAGATGATGATCATGTAATTGGAAGAGCAGAATATGACTTCACTGCTGTTTCAGAAGAAGAAATTTCTTTTCGTGCTGGTGACATGCTAAAATTAGCACCCAAAGGTAAGATTATGATTTATTGTGGATTTATTTTCTAATTTCCAATGACTTTTTAATGCTTGTGAATGGAGTCATATTGACAGCCCTTTGAGATCAAAAGAGATGTATTTTAGTTGGCCCAACTCAACAGGCCAGTGATTGTATGGACGCTCCAGAGAAGCAATATGCCAAATCTTTTTGAGTGGGTTTTGCTTAATTTCCCTAAAATGTTGGCCAGTACAGTAACTCATTTTGAGACATGCCCAAAGATCACTTACACAGTACATCTTCACCAACCATTGTACTCCTCATATTTCCTTATGGGCCATGCAACAGTGCTGTGACAAAAGTTAGATCTGTGCAGCGCTTTCATTTTCAGACCACTTCAAACATTAATCCTCATGGCATCCTTTGGAGACAGGTAAATTGTTTGCATTTCTGTCTTTTTACAAAGTCAGTTTCTCTGAGCTGGTATGCATTCTACCTGACTCCCATCAGACTTCAGTGAAATCTACACACGTGCATCTGAGGGCAGAATGTGGCCATTGTAATAATCGCTGAGGAAACTGTGCTATTCAGAAGAGGAGAGTTGTCACATACACACAGCACACTGAATCCTGTAGATAAATGCAAATATTCCAATCTTTTGAGTATGTGTAGGCCAAAAAAAGTTATACCTGGAAATATACTAACAGTAATTTCTTAGAACATTTTGTATTTATACTTTGTGTAATCAATTGCATGTAGTTAATTACAGTGAAGGGTCTGATCTTCAAAAAGACTTTCAAAGTCCTTTTTCCTCTGCAGAAAATATCTTGTATCCTTTGGAAAAGGGGTGTACCTTTTTTAGCCTCTAACTGGACTGCTATAACAGGAATTGACGAATCCTGTTGTATCTTTATTTTTATTTTTTATGGCTGTCAAATGATTTTTAAAAATTGTGATTAATCGCGAGATTTTTTTAATTGCAATTAATCATGCTATTTTAAAAAATAATCATGATTAATCACAAGATTTAATTGCACTGTTAATAATAGAATACCATTTATTAAAATATTTTTGAATGTTTTCTACATTTTCAAATATATTGATTTCAGTTACAACAGAATCCAAATGAACAGTGCTCACTTTATATTACCGTATATACTTGTTCATAAGCCGCATTTTTTTTAGTAAAAAAGGGAAGCACCAGAGAAGGGGGTCGGCTTATGAATGGGTATAGAGAGGGAGAGGTAGGACACGCCCCCCCCCCCCCAACAACAAAGGGGGCAAGGAGAGGCAGCACAGCGAGAAGGGAAGAGGCGGGGCCAGAGTCTCTTTGCTTCTGGCCTTGCTGCTCTCTCCCCAGTCTCCGAAGCAGCTGCAGCTCCAGGGCTGGCAGGCTGCGGCCGCGCTGCCCAACCTGCCAAAGCAGCTCCTGCTAGGCCAGAGACATCCTCACCTGGCCCACCCCAGCTAAGGTGGGAAGCGATGGGATGGGAAGAGTGTGGGGCTCCAGGCTGGGCTGGGGTCATGTGGGGGGTGGTCACAGGCGTTACTCCCCTGAACCCCAGCTTCTCCCCCTCCTCCCCAAAAAAGTTGCTGTCCCGGCCCATCAGGGTAAGCCGCTGGTGGACTAGGACACTTTGTTTACTTAGGTTTATCTCTGTGCCTGCAGACTCTCAAGGTAAACAAACCATCTCGGCCCACCAGCGGCTTATCCTGATGGCCCGGGAGCCAAATTTTGCCGACCCCTGAATTATAGGGTCAGCTTATGAATGGGTCATAAAAAATTTCCATTTTTACTTATCCATCTTGGGGGGGGGGGGCAGCTTATAAACAAACCAGCTTATGATCGACTATATACAGTATTTTTTATCATAAATATTTGCACTGTAAAAAAGATAAATATAAGAAATAGTATTTTTCAGGTCACCTCATATAAGAACTGTAATGCAGTCTCTTCATTGTGAAAGTGCAACTTACAAATGTACAATTTCTTTTACATAACTGCACTCAAAAATAAAACAATATAAAACTTTAGCGCCTACAAGTCCACTCAGTCCTACTTATACAGCCAGTCACTAAGACAAACAAATTTATTTACATTTACAGGAGATAATGCTGTCGGCTTCTTATTTACAGCGTCACCTGAAAGTGGGAACAGGCGTTTGCGTGGCAGTATTAGTAGCCAGTGTTGCAAGGTATTTACGTGCCAGATAAGCTAAACATTTGTATGCGCCTTCATGCTTCGACCACCATTCCAGAGGACATGCTTCCATGCTGATGACAGGTTTTGCTCGATAATGATCCAAAGCAGTGCGGACTGACACACATTCATTTTCATCATCTGAGTCAGATGCCACCAACAGAAGAATCATTTTCTTTTTTGGTGGTTCAGGTTCTGTAGTTTCTGCATTGGACTTTTGCTCATTTAAGACTTTTGACAGCATGTTACACACCTCCTCCCTCTCAGATTTTGGAAGGCACTTCAGGTTCTTAAATCTTGGTTTGTGTGCTGTAGCTACCTTTAGAAATCTCACATTGGTATCTTCTTTGCGTTTTGTGAAATCTGCAATGAAAGTGTTCTTAAATCGAACAAAATGTGCTGGGTCATCATCCGAGACTGCTATCGCATTAAATATATGGCATCATGCAGCTAAAACCACAGAGCAGGTGACATACAATTCTCCCCCAAGGAGTTCAGTCATAACTTTAATTAACGCATTATTATTTTAACGAGCATTGTCAGCATGGAAGCATGTCCTCTGGAATGGTGGCCGAAGTACGAAGGGGCATATGAATGTTTAGTATATCTGGCACATAAATATCTTGCAATGCCAGCTACTATAGTGCCATGCGAATGCCTGTTCTCATTTTAAGGTGACATTGTAAATAAGCAGGCAACATTATCTCCCATAAATGTAAATAATCTTGTTTGTCTTAGCAATTGACAAAACAAGAAGTAGGACTGAGTGGACTTGTAGGCTCTAAAGTTTTACATTGTTTTGTTTTTGAGTGCAGTTATGTAACAACAACAAAAAACTACATTTGTAAATTGCACTTTCATAATAAAGAGAGTGCACTACAGTACTTGTATGAGGTGAATTGAAAAGTACTATTTTTTTTTCTTTTTTACAGTGCAAATATTTGTAATAAAAAATAATAATATAAAGTGAGCACTAACTAATGCAATTTGTATTCTGTTGTAATTGAAATCAATATATTTGAAAATGTAGAAAAACATCCAAAAATATTTATAATAAATTTTCAATTGGCATTCTATTATTGTTTAACAGTGCAATTAAAACTGCAATTAATCATGATCTATTTTTTAATCAAGTTAATTTGTTTTTAGTTAATCGCTTGAGTTATCTGCGATTGACAGCCCTACTTTTTTTTTAATATATTTTAATTAGGGCCCTACCAAATTCACGGCCATGAAAAATGCGTCATGGACCGTGAAATCAGGTCTTGTGTGTACTTTTACCCTATACTATACAGATTTCATGGGGGAGATCAGTGTTTGTCAAATTGAGGGTCCTGACCCAAAAGGGAGTTGCAGGGTGTTGATGCAAGGTTATTTTAGGGGCGGTTGCAGTATTGCCACCCTTACTTCCGTGCTGCCTTCAGAGCTGCACAGCCAGAGAGAAGTGGCTGTTGGCTGAACGCCCAGTTCTGAAGGCAGCACCCCTCCAGCAGCATTGCAGAAGTAAGGGTAGCAGAATCGCAACCCCCGCCTCCAATAACCTTGCGACCCCCCCCCCACACACACACACACAACTTCTTTTTGGGTCAGGACCCCTACAATTATAACACTAAATTTTCAGATTCAAATAGCTGAAATCATGAAATTTACAATTTTTAAAATCATATGACTGTGAAATTGACCAAAATGGACTGTGAATTTGGTAGGGCCCTAATTTTAATATATAAACTTCTATATTTGATTTTCTATAAATATTAGCACTATAAACACCACATGAACAGTTATGTGGCTTGTCATGTGACTGACTAGTTGTTGACTTAATAGCAAGTATTCTCCCATGTTTCTGCTGAGCTTTGAATTAGATGGCTGTATAATGTCTGATGTCTGGTGAGATCTCAAACTCTATGAAAGTGTTTTAAGGTATAACTGTTATGCATTTTGAATTGCTTTGTAACTATAGCTTAGTTTTCTTATCAGAACAACAACCCAAAGTACGTGGCTGGCTTTTGGCTAGTCGTGATGGTCAAACAACAGGACTTGTGCCAGCTAATTACATCAAAATATTGGGTAAAAGAAGAGGTCGGAAAACAGTGGAGCTGGAAATTATTACAGAGCAGCAGCCGGCTTTTACCAACACAACACCTGTTAGAGGAGCCACTGATGCGGATACTTTAGAGAAGCAAGAAGATGGATTTGAGTCTGTTTTTGTTGAAATGAATAAGGTTCCCATTACCTCTGACTCCACTGTGATAGGTGGAGATAAACAGGATCTCTGATGCACCTGGATAAAATTTAGTGATTGAACTATACTTATCAATAATCCTTTTGATATTCTTAAAATTGTAGAAGTACACTGTTAGGACTGTATCAGGTATCTCGCTGCTGGTGACGGGTGAACAGATAACAAAATAATTTACCCAAACTTTAATAGCATGCTTGGGTCACTTAAAGTTGTACATTTGTGGCCCTGCCCAGCAAACTATTGGCAATTGTGAGATCTCAGGCTGGGGGGAGTTCTGTAGAGGCAACTGGGTAAGCCAATGTGTTGCATCTCTAGCTGCACATTTTGGTCATTCAAAGGAATAGTGCTGATGAATTCTAGAGGTAGCAGTGACCAGTCCTCCTTATTGGAGAAAGAATTGGCTTGATATGGGGCCTTTGACACGGGGTGTTGAGAAGGAAAACAACCATTTCTAGCAGAGGCCTCCAAAAATTGTATATTGAAGAGCCCTTAAAATACTTTCTTTTTTTGGCTGCTTTTTGGTAAAATTAGTGCTTCCACTACCACAAAGAAAAATTAAAGACTTCAGTCCTTTGTTATAAAAAGGTGATTATCTTAAGAAACAGGATTAGCACTGTGAAGGAAGGTACATTCAACTGGAATTGTAAGCAGATAAATGCTATTACCGGTGTTTTATTTGTCTTTTATTCTAATGTTGTTTTCAAGAAAGTATAAGCGCGGTTTTTTCCCCCCCACCATTCTGGGAGCTTTTCCTCATCAGAGTCCTGAGGACCACATGTTTTGTTCTGGTTTATTATGTACATGCTTTAGGCCCTACGTATCTTCCAGCCAAGCAATGTTAAGGATGCTCATTTTTATCAACATCTCTCTAGGGCCTAGTGAGCTAAGTTAGCACAGCCACACTTCCAGCCAGGTATATAATAGCTTATCAATTTCTAGTAATTATGTATTTTAACAGCTACATCCAAACTTCCCGTGTTTCAGTGCAATTTCTTTTTGAACTTTTGTGAGAAAATTCAGCCTGATTTTAACACAGCAGGAATGCATCACAGAGTGGATAGGAAACATCTGTGTTGCCATTAAATAGATGTGGTTTTCTATTGATAATCCCACAAAATAGGAAACAAGAAAAAAAGCTGCCCATTTCATTGTCTCATCATGGAGTTGGATGAGTTAACTGCTAACTTTATTATTCCTAATGCACTTCACGTGTTAAATCTGGTATTTCCCCATAAAATCTGAGGTACATTGAGAACCATGATTGCATAAAGACTATATTATATATTATAAATGTATATTAACAATATACATTTTGCCTTCAAATCTATTTACTTTTGTGAGCTCTGTACTGAAGTCATACTTCTCTGGGAAGCAAAGTTAAGTAAAGATTCCTCTATCGAGACTCACTCACATTAATATTAGATTTGATTAACACAGAATCATTTTCAGTTCAGGCTGTAGTTCTTATGTAGTTCTTATATACTGTGTTGAACCCTTCAATGTTAGAACAGATCATACAGTTCTAATGTACTACAGCAAAGGAAAAATACTGATGGCTGTGTATTAATAAATCATTTCAATTAAGTAGCCTGTTTCTTAAAAACAAAAACCCACAGCAGCACCCAAGCTAGTTAAACTCACATACTTATACTAGCTGTTCCTGGGGGAATTCTGTGCCAAAAAATTAAAAATTCTGTGCACAATATTGCAATAGCCCAATATAATCATGCCGGTTTCAATTATTTTGGTAATTGATTTCAAAAGACCTCTCAGCAAGTATGTTTGTAACAATACAGACAACAGAAAAGATTCAGGAAATATTTTTTTGACAAATAGATTCCTTACTAGGCATATTAATACATAACTTTCAGTAATCATTTAACCTAGAGAAATGTATTTCCCACACACCCCCCTCAGAAGCAGTGCAAAGGTTTGGGAGGAGTCAGGGGTAATGGAGGAGCTGAGGGAGGGAAAAGTAACTGCTGGGAAGGAGCCTGGATGTGAACTTGGAGGGTTGTTGGGTGTGGGTGGGAAAAGCATGGAATGGGGGTTTTCTGGTCAGGGAGGGATTGTTAGGGAGCCTCCCCCATGCAGATGCTGGCTAACCCCTAGCTTCACTCATTCAGTCATGCCCATCTGCCCCAGGCCCCATGTGTCGCGGCACCCCCACTCCCATTCAGTCCCTGCCCCAGTCTGTGACTCCCACAACAGCCCCATATGCCCCACGCTGTCTGGCTCTCATATCCTGTGCCTCCTGAGCTGGTCCCACAGAGAGGGCACTGTGAGGAATGCAGCTTCTTCTCTTCCCTATCTGCAGCTGGGGCTGCTCGCTCCAGGAGCAGATGCTCTCTGTCCTAGCGCACAGTGACTCCAGGTAGGCGAAAGGTGTAACTGCAGGACTTTTCAGCAGAATGTATTTTCAGCTGAGGAAAAAAAAAAATCTGCATGGCACATGAATTCTCTGTGTGTAGGAATAAGTAGCATAATGGATTTGGTAGTTTTAATTCACATTTCTATAGAGATCTTCAACATCAATTTCCATTGCAAGCTTCATTAATATGTTTACATTTTAAGTGCACTTGCTAGCTGTTAGTACTTAGGCAACTTGTGGTGAACAGAATTGCTAAGATCTAGACAAAACAGTTACAACAAGCTATTGCTAACCTCAGGTTGGGTAGTAGTCTAAGGGTATGTCTTCACTACTGGCCGGATCGGCGGGCAGCGATCGATCCTGCGGGGATCGATTTATTGCATCTAGTCTAGATATGATAAATCGATCCCCAAGCTCTCTCCCGTCGACTCCTGTACTCCAGCTCGGCGAGAGGCACAGGCAGAGTCGACGGGGGAGCGGCAGCAATCGACTCACCATAGTGAAGACACCGCGGTAAGTAGATCTAAGTACATCGACTTCAGCTACGTTATTCACGTAGCTGAAATTGTGTAACTTAGATCGATTCCACACGCACACACCCCAGTGTAGACCAGGTCTAAGTGGCTGGTATGCTGGAGCCCTGGATTTTAGAATAACCTCTGGACTCTTGCTGTGTACAATGGTTAGGAACATAGGAGATAGGGCCCTGGCTCCTGGGGGACAGTGTAGTGAAGCATTTTTGCTACTGCTTGCTCAGTAAGATTATATGTAGCTGCTATGGGAGAGGGAAAGGAAAAAACAGCCCACATTGAAGGGGTGAATGAAAAACTCTGAGCCAGTACACATTTCTGAGAAACTTTTCTCAACATGCCAATGCACCAGATGAGGGATTAACTAAAATTTGGATGGGACTCCCTCTGCTGCAGAAACAGAATGAAAACTGAGGACTAGAATGTACATTAAGATTGTTAGAAAACTACATCAGATGTTCAGTTTCTGCCCACATTCTTTGTTCCTGATGGGTTTCATTATTTTACTATTGGAGCATCAATCTTTCTTGTATCAATAAAGAATTTTAACTGGAGCAGTAGTCTCTTAAAAGAATAAAGCTTTTTTTTAAAAATGCCCGTTAAATCAGGCTTCTACTTTCCTAATCAAGACTAGATTGGAAAACACTTTCAACTGAATGTTAATTAGAATCTTTAAATCTCATTAATTCTTAATAAAGACGTAGTTAAATTTCACATCTGAGTTTTTCTGATCATGTTCTTTAAAAGTATTCTCTTGGTAGAAAAGGGGTAGCTTATAAATAATTGGACATTGACTAACCTGTCTTACTGTGTAGTAGCTTGACTTAGTCTATCAAATCACTGTAAATGTTATAACTATGCATAGAATTCTGACCCTTTCAATCCTGTTTACTCACTTTAATGGAAAAAGGGCTGAGAAAATGGTGTAGTAAGTTGTATTTTATTTTAAAAATTCTGAAATTGTATTGACTGTATAAATGTATTAAAATTGAGATTTTGGCTTTGTTGGATATAAATTAACATCAGAACAAGAATGAGTTTAAAATGGAATCCTGTGAGCTAATTATTTCCCATACCTCTGTGCATATGTCAGGTTCTTGCAAAAACAGTTTGTATGCTTTAGTTCTGAATGAAAACAATTTAATTGTTAACTAATTGTGCAAATTACGTAAGAACAGAAAATGTTAAATATATTTTTTAAAACTGCATTAGAGATTTGAGGTTTCCTTGGGAAAGAATATTAATATTTTAGTCTTTAATAAGAGCCAGGGTAAAATTCTCAACAGTGCCTAAGTCCCATTTTCAAAAGTGACACAGACACAAAGGAGCCTAAGTCTTACTGACTTTCAGTGTTGTGAAAGTGTAGGGGAAAACAGTTAAAATTACTCTCAAACAACGAGCAATTAGTTAAAACTGTAAAAGTGACGTAAAAATTCACCTTCCACATTTTACAAACATCTTTGACTCTGATATACAAAACTTGCTTAGGATCTTTCAGCATATCCATTATCAATATGTATATAATTTTACTACATGAATAGTGATGGATATGCTGAATTTGTACCTACTGTTTGTCAGACAAAGTGGCTTGTGAAATGCATACAGTACATTTTTAAATGACAATAGTGTCATTAACTGCATGTACAAACTGTCAGGGTACTGAAATACTTAAATTACTTTAACTGATCCTTTCCATAACTCTGTAATTATGATTTTATGAAGTTTGCATAAGGATTAAATATTTTGTCAGGAGACTGATAAGTACAGATGTATTTAGCACTGTACAGTGGCTAAAGTGTCCTGAGACTTTTAACGTAGAAGTCTGTGTAATAAAAAGGTGGGATGTGGTCTCAATAACTAGAAAGCTTCACAAATATTGTGTGTGTGGATTTTTAGGTTTTTGAAGGAAGAGTGCTTTGCCAGCATTGACTAGGAGGCTGTTCAAGGCTTAAATGGTAGTAGAAAGAAGTAATGATTTAAGGGAGTAGTCATGGATTCAGTGTATGGAAGAAGGTGTAGGAGATGAGAAAAAAGATATAGGTGAGGACTGCTTGATTTATGCAGTACACCTAAGCAACAGAACTTGAAATCCCTCTTAGGACATTTAGTTGTATGTACTTGGATTACCTCTGAATTTTAATCTTAAAATAATAGTCTCTTTGGTACATGAACTGTATCTTCATATATATATATTTGTACAGTACCTAGCACAATGAGATCCCAGTCTTGATGGGGGCTTCAAGGTGCTACTAGAATACTAAATAGTACATACAAATTCAGAAGACTCGTTCGAGTTTTTGAATGGTATTGCAAACTGAAAGACATTACTTTTTGTCCAGCAGAATAAAGAATAAAATAAAAAATTGAAAAATATTAGTCTATTTTCCTTGCATAGGCTCAAAAGATTACTCTTCTTATGGAACTAAAAAGCCTCTGAGCCAGCCAGATTATTTTAATATGTTTGGCCTCACTAGAAGCACTTTACCGGTATGGGAATACTAGTTACTATATCAGTGAAGTGTTCCTCGTGTGGACACAGCTACACTATCAAAGCTGTCCTTTGTACCAGTATCGCAAAACCACCCCCCATGCATGAAACAAGCTCTATTGGTTTAGCAGACCCATTCAGCCACAGTCTTCCTGACTATTAACCATCAACTTTTCCTCATTTTGCTGTACAAAGTCAGCATTAATTGAATCTGGGAATTGCTGTCAGGAAAATGGGGAATTATGCTATTTATCTCATTATGTATTTGATTCTATGTCCGTAGAAATCAAAGGGAGTTTTGTCACTGACTTCAAAGGATGCAAGATCAGGCCCTTAATATGCTGATTCCTTTTTTGTGTGTGCTTGTGTACACTTTTCACAGCCTGTCTCCTAATATAGCACTCAGCTTTTCTTCAACGAAGTTGGTGACAATGATGATCACGGGAGTGAGAAAAGGACAGGAATGTAGTATAGTGTATGGGTTTACAGCAGTAGGATGAAATTAAGAAAAGGAAAATAAGGTAAATGAAAAGAAAAATCCAGGCAGATTTTTAATAATGTAGGCTAGTCTCCCAAGTGAAGTGGTGGGATACCCTCATCTGGACATGCTAAAAGTTGATTGAAAAGAGAAATGCACCGCAGGGAACAAACCTGCAGTGACTAATAGAGTAGATGAATGAATAGATTTCCTATTTCTAGGAATCCATGCAGTGTCAGTGCTCTCACCTGTTTGGAAACCTTTTCTTTTTCTAATTTTATTTTAAGAATGCATGCCTTCTCTGACATTCACCTTAACTCATTTCTTAGTTCATCCACTTGCTGCTGATGTTCTCTGCAAGAAAGGAAAAAATAAAATAGTCAGCTACCCTTAGGGACAGATTGTAATTTCAAATGTGTGTTGTGCATCACTGCAGTTCTAAAACATTCATTACTCCATCTGCACCTTAAATATGTAGACTTCTCAATATGCTTGTGTGAAATTAGAATCTCTTACAGAAAATATTCAAAAAGTAACGTAAATACCTCCTTTGGGGTTTTTTTGGAAGCATTTTTCATAAAAAGGTGCATAGAGCATGAGAGAGGCATTTTTTTAAAGTATTTTATGTAAGGCTAAATAAATAAAATAAAGTTTGAAAAATTTTCCTACTCCTAAAGTCCTGCTTCAAAATTAACTACTGAACAGTTCCATAAGAATCCCTAGTAGTATTCTGGTAGCCTAAAGGTCCAAAACAGAATCAAGAGTCTTATGCTGAATGTTGTAAAAATATTGAATGAGATAGTCCCTCTTCCAAGAGCCTATAAAATGTAACCAATCTCTTTCCAAAGAAAAAGTGATGAACAGAACTAAAATACTCAAAAAATTCTACTCTAAAACGTGATTCTGTAAAAATGACAAAATACTTTGAGAGAAAAAAAAACTAATTTTTTTGGGAGGGTGGGGGGGCAGAGAGGGGATTTGTGTACAGCTCAACCAGAATTTGCCTGTCAGTAATACAGGATCAAACGTACTCACGTTATAACTTAAAATGTGTTGTTTTTTCCTAATTAACAGCTCAGCAAATTCAGCCTGGAATCTGTGTCATTTTTCCTCACACATCAATAATAAATAAATATTTTTAAAAGTTCTGCAGGCTAAATTAGGTCTTCAATGTCAAGTATGTAACCTTGATCAGTAAGTTTGCACGTGTATAACTGATTTGAGCTTAGTAAATAACATTGATGTTGCACATGCAGGGAAAGAATCCTTCCCATCCTCTAATAGTCTATGTGTCACTTCGTAATTGTTTTTTTCTAGTTCAGTGGATGTGCCATACTCAACAATTTGCATACACAAAAACACCTGGAATTTTCAGAGGAAAAATCTCAAGGGGGTTATGTTAACAAGTTGGGAATCATTTCAAAATTAATGATGAGGTTATGGAGTATTTAGGCAGGAAAAAATCCCATTTATTTAATCTCTCAAAGCCTGCAAATCATTGGATCATATTCCTGCGGTGGGAGAAGGGACCCAGGAAACATCATGAAATTCACCTCACAGAATTCCCCATTCATCTTAACCTTGAGAGGGAGGGATATATTGGTGCTCAGAGGAGGCAGATGGCATGTCTTCAAAACCATGGAATTTCTGGGGACATGCAAGGAAAAGAAGCTCCTGTTCCAACCACATTTCTCAAATCATAGAATATCAGGGTTGGAAGGGACCTCAGGAGGTCATCTAGTCCAATCCCCTGCTCAAAGCAGGACCAATCCCCAACTAAATCATCCCAGCCAGGGCTTTGTCAAGCCTGACCTTAAAAACCTCTAAGGAAGGAGATTCCACCACCTCCCTAGGTAACCCATTCCAGTGCTTCATC